AAGAGAGAAAAGGAGGAAAAATGGAAGAAGACGAACGTTTGAAGGTGTCACCGCGTGCGGGTATCGCGTGACCCTTTCCCCGAAGAACAAAACCGAATGGCCGATGAAAAACTGTCACAGCTGCATGGCAATCCGACGACTTGGACTTTGCTGTTCGAAAGAAAGAACGTCCCGCATTGTTTCAACCCTTCGCGTTAACAACGTCCCCCGCGAATAGAGGCAGAACAGGGAAGCGGAAGAGCCAGACGAGCGAAAAAGTCACGGTCCATTTTTTCCCCGGTCTCGGCTTTATTTCGCGCCCGTTGCTGTCCCGAATCCCTCAGTGTGTCATTAGTTTTGCCTTTATTCGTCGCACGTGTTCGCGGCTGCGTTCCGTGCCGTCGTACAATGCTGGCAAGCACGCGGAGAACACGAGCACGACGGTGCCTCCTCTCCTCTCTGGCTATACGCGAGGAACAGGTACAGGCGTACAATGCACTCCGACGCTGTTCGCCTCGCGTCCGCGATATTGCTCCAGCCCCGACACGTCGCTTCCTTTTCGTTCCGCGAAATAACGCGCGCTCGCGAGATCTATCCAGCAGTTTAACCCCGCCGTCGCCTTCGGAGCAACTTGCTTTTCCCCGTGAAATTTCTTATCGATCAGCCGCTTTTTCCTCCAACGAACCGCTTCTTCTGTCCACCGCCCCGCTATAGTCTTCGATCCCTTCTGTGATTATAACCTGCACGGCTGCCCCGCTATTTCTGTACGCGCGTTCGAGATAATTACCATTTCCTTTTCTTTACGGTTAATTAGCCTATGCATGAAAAAAGAAACGTCCAAGTCGAGTCACGCCGGTTTATTTTTGTCGGTGGGCCAATCACGGGGCAGCCAGAACGGTGGAAGAAAGCACGGTAATCGCGAATCTCGTTAATTTTCTTTGGCGGGAGCCGTAAGTGGAACGACCGTAAATAAGGTAAACGTAATTAGGCCGAGCGTAAATGATGTAAACGTAATTGGAGCGGCCG